TTTATTTTATAAATATAATGGAGATTAATAAGTAGGTATATATTATGAGAAAATAGGTATTTTCTCATTATGGTAACGAACACGGTAGGTACCACGCGTTATTATACTTAGATGAATAAATAATAGGCACCATCGTAGGTCCTTATTTGACTTATTGAACATCCTATATAAGTATATTCATAATAATTATTAATATTGATTTTTTGTTTTCATTCTTAATTTTTAAACTAACGGAGCTGAACGTGATCAGCTGAGCGCAAATTTGCTATGTTACGCATTTGTATTAAGAGGACACTACACCCGCATGTGTTGTATCTGTTTAACAAAGTATAACATAGCAAAAACTGTTTTGAGCGGGACAACTATCATACTCCCTCAATATTTATAGGACAATTACCAAAATTCCACAACGCATAGAGAAGAACTTTATCTGTGTCCAACAGTTTATATTTAATCCTTCATTCTTATTTGCAGTTAAAAAAAAATACATCAATAGTTATCATACTCAAACTAAAATAATCTGAAAGTACCTATCTACTTTTTTTTTTTCTTATGAATAGTAAAATTAGCATATTATGTTGGCATACTTTCGATGGAATAAGTAATAAGCAAATTATTCTAATGGGAATCTTAGCCTTTTGACTAATATAACAAAAAAAGTACTCCTAGGCAACTAACTTTATAAGAAAAATGTAATAACGAGTTTATGGGAATTAGAAAACAAGTTCTGATTTTGAATAATATGATCACCTATATTATGATACATCTATAAATACTTCTTCACTAGATAAAGTTTTACTTAATTTAACATAAACAGTAAATACATCATGCTCAGTTTCTACAGGTAACTACTTAATAAATATAAACTCTCGGTTTAAATAATTCTAGATAATTTACCTGTGAAAGTGGTACGACAATAAAATGTCCTTCGCCATCAGTTACCGATGCAAGCCATACATTTTGGATTTACTACAACCCTTGCATGTTTGGATGCTGGAAAATGCTCAGAATATTCATCTTCTATTATTTTGCCGTATATACCACTAACTGCACCAATACTTTTTTCTGTAAGACATTTGTAAATAAATACAATTTTTAAAAATGTGGACAAGTGGGTACCACTCTGCTGTACAGCAGTTGTAGAGTATGTCACTGTAATGGATGTGTTATATTTGAATTTAATGATAAATCATTAGATACGAAAAACGATTCTGAGCAGAGGCTAGGCCTAGCAATCCAGTGGCACTGAACACGTATGGCTATACTGGGGTAAACACCCCATAATTTTTGTAGGTAGTGGATGGGTAGGTGGGTGACTATACTTAGTGCTTTAAGGTCTTGTTTAACTTAACAAGAAAGTATGCACATACGTGAAAAAAACAAATCATACATTACATTATTTGATTACTACTAATAAGTAATAATAATATACTATAATATATTATGCGGGTGTTATATACTTCCGAGTGATTCGTGGAATTGTGTCTATTTGGTCGTGTGAATGTGTGTAAAATCGGAATAAAAACCGATGGACAGTGTCTATAATATAGTGTTTTACAGGCAGAGGAGTAAGAGTATACGTCGTGGACTGAGCTTTGTTACTGCGACCGAGCCATGGCTATAGGTATACAAAAACATATCTAACCAAATTCAATTGCAATTTGTTGAAAATAGGATTTTATTACTAAAAAAACGCTTTATATGGGAAGTGGCACAAGGGAATGTGACGGAAAACCTCCCCACGTCAATATATCTCAATGTACAAAAAACAAATGTGCAAGTGTAATACGAATTGAAAAAAAAATAAAAGTTACCTACCTAAGTGAACTAAAACAACCACCCTTCACTATAATATTGTGGTATAATATACAACATAATATGCGACTATTTCCGATTATTTGTCAAAAGAAAAATAAGTACACTTACTAATATATTATGAAATAGTTACCATTTATGTGAAATGCTTATATAAATATTTTGTGAAAATGTCAATGGTCTACGGTTATTAATTGTTGAGCTACACCAAAAAAATTAACTCGATTTCCTCAAAAATTGGTTTGGCGTAAAAATTATCACTATTCTTTCACTTTTGTTTAGTTCTGCTCGACAGACGATTTTTAAAATTACTTGAAATTTTCAATTTTTACCTCCCAAAAGTACCAACTACTAACTAGGTTAAAACTAATTAAAATTTAAAACCATATTATTACAAGTCTATACTATATTAAAGTTGTATCACTTTTGAAAAATAATATTGTTCATTTTTATATGAAAATTGCGTCATATTGTGAAATTAAATCGATAATTGATACGAAACCCTCGGACCACATAAAAATATAACTTCATGCATCGGTATATCGTACGCTGCCATCCTTACATTCAAACAAATTCTTTGGATTAAGTATTAAATATATTTGATTGAAATACATAACAGGAAAGTATGCACATACGTGAAAAAAAAAACAAATAAAGCATTACATTATTTGATCACTACTAATAAGTAATAATAATATAATAGAATAGAATATTATGTGTGTAAAATCGGAATAAAAACCTATTTACCTATGGACAGTGTTTATAGTGTTTTACACACAGACGAGTAACCCTATCAGTGGCGTATATAGGGGGAGGCCCTCTAGGCCAGAGCCCATAGTGAAATTGCAGGTTCAATTAAAGCATTGCATATTAATAGTAGATATATAAACATTTTTTCTATTATAAATTGTTTAATTAAATACAATTTTTACTGGCCTAAATTGTGTACCATAATCAGAATAAAAGATTTTATATTTTAGTATTTTACCATAAAAATCTATTATAATTGAAGGCTGAGGCGCATAGAACCAAAACAGCAAAAGGGTTTATACAGGTTTATTTTTATACAGGATAGGTAGGTAATTAAAGTTTTGATTATTTTTCAACATTTATATATAACTAATATTATTATTATTTCTAATAATAAATACAATTAAGTAACCACTACAGTATTTCCAGTAATTAAAAATGTATCAACAATATGTTTTTAAATTTAAAGTGTTTTTGGTGTGATAGTTTATTATACACAGTTTATAGTATAAACTTGGTTACACCACAGTCCATAGAATATTTTAATTACTATATATTATTATGTGTTTAAAAGTTAATAAGTATGTTTGTAATTTTAGTTCCAGTTATGATAAAACAATTGTAGGGAATGATATTGTATTTTCAATCTTGGTCTAAGATTGGGCTTAATTTTAATATTTTCCCCGGGCGTAAAAATTCTTAGATCCGCCTCTGCATGTATATCAACACTGTTTACAGCTTTTCACCATGATTAAGTTAGCCGGTTGATTAAAATAGTTTTTGAGGAATCAACGAGGAAATGTTAGATTGTCAGGACTTGCTTTGATGACTTATAATTGACTTTGATGTCGAGTTCATAGTAAGACAACATTAAAATATATAAATGACACTGTGAATAATTTTTAAAAAAATAATCAAAAAATAAATTTTATATAATAATTAAATTGCGCAATTTTTATTTGTACCTACTGTATATGTCATAATTATAAATACCCAGCTCCTTAAAAAATGTATAGTTATGACTTATGGGTTATGGCTATGTTAGTCGTGCTATGCTTGACTAGTGATGACTGATAAATTGGCCCAAAGTGAAAATAATTTGTATATACGCCACTGAACCCTATGTCCTACGTGAACGACGAATTATATTCTGACCACGCTGTTCCAAACGCGGCAAAAATCAAGCCATTTTGTTTTTTGCCGAGTTCGCCTCGTTCAAGTTGAACACAGGGTAAGAGTATACGTCGTTGACGAACTTTGTTACTGCGACCGAGCCATGGCGATGGCTATATACAAAAACATATCCAACCAAATTCAATTGCAATTTGTTTAAAATAGGATTTTATTACTAAAAAAACGCTTTATATGGGAAGTGACACAAGTGAATGCGACCGACGAAACCTCCCCACGTCAATATATCTCAAAGTACAAAAAAAAATGTGCAAGAATAATACGAATTGAAAAAAAATAGAAGTTGTATTCAAAGTGCCTACCTAGAGTGAACTAAAACAGTCACCCGTCACTATAATATATTGTGGTAGGTATAATATGCGATACTAATGTCAAAAGAAATATAAGTACACTTACTGCGTCGTAGTAGCGGTTGAGGGCCACTGGATAATAAATTTATGTAATTTTCCAATCAGTGCGCCCGATGGACGGCAACAATGACATTTATTTTAATAGTTAAAAACGATCGGTAAGAGCAATAAGAGCTTCTTATTAAGAGGTATGGACTACGCGTTCTGTGTAGTTCAATCTTTTTTCTATGTGTGTAGTTTATGAGTTGTTTGAACATTCAAACTCCTAAACCATCGATGACCGATGTTCAAAAAAAGATGCCCACCTCTACATAATATTCTGGTTACTGGTTAGGGCATCGGGCATCAGGTTCAAACATTGTTCTATGGTTCAAATTATGGTATGAACAGCTCATTTTAAACTTTGAAGAGGTTGGCAACACCATAGCCGTCGTATATCCACTCTTATCATTTTTCAGTGACAACTACCCGACCATTCTCCGCTCTTGTGCAAAAGATAATATGGATGTTCCCTTCCGTGTTCCGTTTAAAAGTATATTAAGGTCTATATAATTTATGCATAAAAAAAAACCTTATCAAAAACCATCCACGACTATTATCTTTATCAATTTATCGAATATTTATCAGTGGCCTTGTATATAAGACTGTGTATCGGTCGGTGTACGTTAGTTGTAATATTATTACTATTATTGTAATTAATTTTACTTGCTGCGATTTTTGACGTTCGGGTGCCGTCGCTGTCACCCTTTTTTCTACGCGTTTGCACGGCCGTGCGCTTGGCCGATATTGTTCGCGGTGTGACGATGATGTTACGTTAGGGCGGGCGAAAGCGGAAGCGTTGGTAGTGTCTGACCCACTAAGTCGGTCATGTCCATAGTTTAGGCGGCAGACGACATGAACTGCCATCAAATACTGAGTGGTGCCTGCAATGCTGGCGACCGGTGCTTCGCCGTCGGCAGCGTGGAAGGCGTACCATTCACCGTAAGTATTGCACTTCCGAACCTAGCGAATGGACTACAACACATCACTCATCGTCTGTCTGTGTTTAGGCTTATGCGGCTGGATGCAATATTGTGATACTGGCGAGTACATTCGAACGGGTTCAAATCATCCCTGGTGCGATACACAACTATATCCGCATCAGTTGTTTGGACTGTTCAACAGACACTGGCAAGATAGCGGCCGCCTACGACAACCAAATATGTGTCTTTGAGCCAACTCCGCTGGTTTGCAAAAATTCACCCCATGCAAGTTCATTTTTAGTATCATTAGAAGTTGTTGTTTGCCCTAGACACACCCATATACATTAATAACCGATAAACTTACTCATTTAGGGTTTGTATTTAAATTTAACTTTTTTGTTATCAATAGAATAATGAATTAATATTTCTCTAAAGTTACTATGAGAGAGGGTTGTACCTTGGGACCATTTTTATTAAATATCTCCTAACAGCTCTAATTGTTAATACTTAAAGTTAATGCATATTAAAAATATTGTAGATATAATAAAGTTATACCATATAGATTTTCTCCAAACCCTAAATCTGAGAATTTATTTTTTCAAAAACCATAAAATGATCCAAGGTACAGTGTACAACATATAATGTACCTTGGAAGTTACATTGAAATATACATGGAAATAGAAAAAACCCATTTAAAATATATTACTTAAAAAATCATAAATTACCTAAGCAATTCAGCATATAGATAATATATAGGTAATCACTTAATCTCAGGTACCCAGATGATAAAAATATAGTTCAATCCTTTAAAACTTGAGAATTAATGATTTGGTCCAAGGTGCATGAATACCAATTTGAAAAGAATGTATCTTTTTAGACCTTAATACTAATTTTTGTAAGAATGGACTACTACCATTTAAAATATTTAACATAAAATGGACACTAACCATAAGAACTTCTATGACAAATTTAAACGTTGAAAATAAAATTTAAAAAAAAAACAAAAATTATTATTTTGATGGGCAAAATTAAATTGTTTCTATTATAAATTCATGAGTCATTTTATTGTTTTAATGTCGTGGAATTACCGACTATAATTTCTTCCACTCATTAATTCTTTACCTATTATTGAGGGAGAAATTAAAATTGGACCATGGTACAACACTCTCCAATCTACCTAAATAATATTTTTTTTGCAATAAGTTTATTTTAATTATTATTTGAACAATATATTAGCAACATACTTCTATAAATAATTTAAATACATTTATTGGTCAAAAATATTATTATAATAACATTAGTAGTATACAATACTATAATAGGTAGTTTACCCATACATGAACAATAAGTACGTATAAAATATAATATAATATCTAAACCTTCAAAGAATATATATACAGGAATAAAATAGGGATTAAACCTTAACTTCTCTGTCATTTATTAAAATTATTTGCCATCCACCTACCCAATTTTGTACTAAGATACAACAGTTTAACATATATTAAGCACACTATATTAAAGCATATTCTTCTCCTATCACAAATTTTTTGAATTTTTTAAATATTAGTTTACAAACAACTCGGAAAATATTATGAACCATACTAATACATAATTATGCGTTGATATGAATAATGGTAACCTAATCTGCTAGTATTACTTTTATAAATAAATATGATTTTATTCATTTTTAATCATTTTTAATTTTTGAATGTTTTAGGTACTATACTAATATTAAAAGCTGTAAACTAATTATAAAATGACAGCAACTTATTATTGATCGTTACATGTGTATTTATATACAAAGGTTTACATAAATATACAAGATTTAATTAGACTAAAATAAACTAAATACAAATTGAATCCTTTACAACATAAGTTCAACATTTTAATTTAAGAAAAGATCTATAATCATAAAATTACATTTTCTCATATCTATTATATCATATCTATATGTTTATTTCAAATATTCATTTGATACAATACATAACATTTGTATTATAATATTATATATATATCTAATTTAGCAAATGCCTTTAATAAATTGTGTTGTTTGTGTTTATGACTTAATTAGTAAATAAGGTTAACAATATTAAGTCTCTTTACAATTAATTATTGATAGATAAATAGATAATCCACTTGAAATTTTGTTTATCTTTATGTTGTACCATAGGTACAATAAGTAATTTCTTAGGAGAAAAAATAGTTAGTAAACTTTAATTTTCCATGGTTAAAGAACCATCTTAAAGAACTATTGCATACTACATACCCATTAACAAAAAAATGTTTTAAAAACAATTCATCAATTAACATTAATGTTGTATTATCTAACTATAAATTATATTGAACTATTTTTTAAATATAGAAAAATTTTAATACCTAATTAATTAAAATTCATAATATTTGTATATTAGTTGAGTTGTTGTCCTTATTAAAGACAATTTATATATATATATATAATTTAAAAATATATGTTATTAATATAAGTACCAACTAACATTTTCAATAAAATAAATGTAAGCTATTTATTTCTTAATTATTTAATTTATTAGATTGTTCTTTTATAATTTCAGCAATTGGATTATAAATGGGTAGAGACTGCTAGTTGGCGAACTGCTTGTCGTATTAGCTGTTTGTCATGGAATTTGGAAGGCACTCGGTTGCTTACGGGGGGTACTGTTTTACAACTATGGCATCAACAATTACCTGATGAGCCCTTAGAAGAAAATACTGGTAAATATTAGTTTTAATGTAATTTTTTTAACTAGAAACATATTATATTTGTAAAATAAAGTAAATGTATTTTATTAATTTCTTTCATACGCTTTAAAATTTGCATAAATAACTTTTAAAAACCACTTAAACTCTGTATTATTTTTGAATTTATAAACTATTAACCCAAGTTTAAAAAGTAAAATTTTTGTGTAATTAGTAATTCTTTGATTTTATTCCGATATTCAATACCTAATTCAATTACATATTTAATACAATATAATCTTTATTTTATATTAGGTACCTATCTATTATAATTTATCATATTCTATTCTTTTAAATACAGGTATTATATCATACATTTTTGTAGATAACGTATTACCATTAGATTTTGTAAATAATTAAGATAAATTAAATATTAATAAGAAACTAAATCTGCTCTTTTGTATAGGAATGACAAGTGACGGAGTAACATTTGAGATTGGTGAAGAAGCAATACCAATGTCATTAACAACATCATATAACTGTGAAGTCCGTGGATGGGAATGTGTTTGGCAAAAAGAAACGGCCTCTCCAGTAGTGCACATTGCTTTTTCACCAGATGGAACATTATTTGCTACTGCTGGTAAAGATGACAGACTAGTCAAAATTTGGTTTGAAAATAAACAATGTGAGTATGATGAGTTTCAATCACATTTGTTGAAATGCAATATATTAAAAAAGTGTCAAGGTGTACAATTTGTATTCGATAATATGCTGGTGGTAATAATTATGATAATCATTTATTTCTTCTTTCAATCCTGTCATGATGCTGCATACATTGGCTAGTGAAATTAAATAATATTAAAAAAAAAAAATTGGAATTCACAGCATTTATATGAAATCTAAAACTTCAGACAATTATATAAGTTTTTAACCATGACATTACCCTGTAGTGTTGTTTTAATTATTGATACAAATACCTATTCTTATTAATATTTGTTCAGAGCAATTTAGATTTACAATAATATCAAACTTTTACTATACAAATAAATAAAATTGAAACTTAACTTGTTGCTAATATTTATTAATAATTAATATAGTACTTTTTCCATCAAAAAGTGTTGATCAGAATTACTCAATGAGTGCTATTTCTAATTTTGGTGAGCCAAATTACGGTTTTGTGTACATAGCTCATCCTCGAGCTGTAACTCAACTATCATGGAGAAAAACTAGCAAATACATGCCAAAGTAATTTGTTGTACACTGCCTGTTTGATAGTATTGTAATTAAATTAAAATTTATTTTTTTTAGGGGATCAGTATCAAATATGCTAGTAACATCATGTCGGGATAATATTTGTCGATTATGGTCAGAAACTGTTTTACCAGATGATGGTTTGGTAAATATGAGCCATTTTGATCCATTAGCTGCTCATAATCCACGATTTCGAACTCATAGACATAAGCATAGACTCCTTCAACGTCTCAAACATATGAAGTAATCAATTAAAATACTTAAACAATCAAACAACACAAAATTATTTAACTTTCTTTTTTAATTTTAATAGAGCTTGTTTTCATATACGAAGACATGCTAAACATCAAGGAGATCTTGGAACTGGTATAGCTGGAAGTACAAGTTCCACAATACCAACATTACCATCTACATTCAGTGTCCATGATTTTCATAGTTATGGTTTTCATGGTACTGGAATTATTCCTGGACTTCATTTCCATTTAGCTGCAAGCATAAATGCCGAAACTGGTAATTTCAAGAATTGTATTTAAAAAATGTATGCATAAAAATATAATTATATTAAATTCACAATTTTTTCTTTAGACATTCCATTAGTGCCTAGTTTATCAAGCACTGACCCTGAAAGAGAACCAAATTTTGTTCTTCATTGGCTCAACAATAAAGAAATGCATTTTTCACTCCAGGCAGAAGCCATACTAAATGTATAATAATTCATAAGTAATAATTAGGGTTTGAAACTTAATGCTTTAAACAAAAATGAAATATGTGCATACATAGGCACTATAAAAATCTTCAAAATGTATTATAATTCAATTATATTTTTATAAAATAGACATTTTTTGTAGTTAATTCACATAAAAATAAAATGCATGATTATTTAAAACGTGGAATAATATGCAAAAAATAGTTTTACACTATATTAATTTATATCAATTAATTCAAAAAAAAAACTTATTTTTAATTTAACCTTAAATATAAAGATTTACTCTTTACAGTAGAAAACAATTATTGAATCCATAGTATGTTTCAAAATATAGATAACCATATTACTAGAGGGGTGTACAAAAATAAAGGCTCTTTATTTTTAAATTAGATTATTTTTTAACAAATTACATATGTTTTTATTTGTTAACAAATTACATATGTTTTTATTTGTTAACAAAATATGTATCAATGTGTATAAAATCTTTTTATATTTTACGAAATATGCAACATGCATTTTGGATTTAAGTTGTATTATTATGCAAATTTGTGTCGAATTAGATTTTTAATTTGTAGCCTCTTAAGAGGACGCCACACCCGCATGTGTTGTCTCCGTCTTACAAACGCGTAACATAGCAAATTACGTCCACGGGAAACAAACGAATCGGCATCAAAAAGTGGTTTTAGAGTAAAAATACCTATAATAAAACTTAAAGAGAACAATATTTCGGAGGGAACCTCATCGGGGTTTTGTATTAATCTAAATACACAGCTAGATATTGAAGGCACAAAAACTCTTTTTTTTAAATAACCACAACTTTTTTAATAGTTAATATTTTTAAAAACGCCGATGAGGTTCCCTCCAAAATATTGTTCTCTTTAAGTTTTATTATAGGTATTTTTACTCTAAAACCACTTTTTGATGCCGATTCGTTTGTTTTCCGTGGACGTAATTTGCTATGTTACGCGTTTGTAAGACGGAGACAACACATGCGGGTGTAGCGTCCTCTTAAGAAATATGCAATTGCATGAAGTTCCGAGCCTAGAAATATCAAATCAAACTGCTAATATTAATATGTAAAATATTTATTTAGGAATTAACCAAAAAAGTAGTTGAAAAAGACGATATGCTTATAAATGAACAATTTATAATATCAGAACATCACGATGTTGAGTATAGTGATTCTAAACGTAAACAGAATAAGCTTGGTAAAAGTACATCACAAGATGAAAGTGTTAGTGATGAACACAGTTGTCCATCAACTCATCCTACACTGAGGTAATTTATATTAAATTTAATATTAACTAATATAAATAATAATTGTTTTATGTGTATGTTTTATTATTTTTGTACTTTAGCAATACAACATCTGTAAATTCATTTACTACTGATACAAATCATATAACAACTGATTCTCTTGATAATAAAATTGAATGTCTACTTCGTGACTGGCACCATAGTCCTGATTTGTTATTTGCTGTCCATCCTATTGATGGAAGTTATTTAATTTGGGTAGTTGATTGGTTGGATGAATACCATCCTGGTTCATTTAGACAAGCCCAAGTTTCTTTTTCTACTAGAATACCCAATGCTTTCCCTCTTGGAGATGCTACCACAATGTCTCATAATGTTTGTTTATACCACACATCTGGATCAAGTTTACAGCTAGCTTTTAGAGATGTAGTTAAAACTGCTGCTGCAGCACCAAGCAGATCACCTAGTGATGTCCATGGTTAGTTAATTATTTGAGTTGTTGACTTTGTACTTTAAACAAATTTTATTGCTTAGGTATAAATGGAGATAATGGTGATTCTAGTCTTCCCAGAGTATTGGAGGAAGACGGTGATTCTTTAGCAGGTGACATTGATTTACACCATCAAAATGAATCGGTTGAACCATCATCATTGAATGAAAATGGAAAACCAAATCGAGCCAATTCAACTATGGGTGAAGATTCCGGAACATTTAACGATATAATATCTGCACCGCCATGTCCAACTCTATCAATGGTCACCAAACATACTAATGGAACCCTAAATTTATGGCAATTAACCTTTGCTGATAAATCTAAATTTTCTCAAGTCTTAAGTATTGGCCATGCATCACGAGCTTCTGGTCATCGGTTCCGTGTAAATGACGTGACCTGTCATCCTGTATTGCCATTATTGTTAACCACTTCCCATCACAATTTACCTGATCAAGAAACTCCAGCTTCTCCTTTATCACCCAATCCACCTCCTATTGCTCAACCTCCCTCAGTAAGTATAATATATATTTAAAATAAAATAACATTTACCAATGTATACAACAACTGCTTTTTTTTTGCAGGGATTTTGTAGTGAACTTATATTATGGAGAGTTGATGCAGTTGGGCCACTTTCTAAATCTGGTGGTGTTTCTGAACTTGCTCGCATAAATTCACTTCAAATATCAGCATTCTCAAATGTTGCTTGGATTCCAACCTTATTACCAAGGTTCTTCAAAAACCATTTTTTTTTTATGTATTGTTTAATTAATTTAATCTAAAATATCTAATTGATTTTTATTAGTACTACATTGGGGACATTATCAAATTCTCCAAGTGCTTGTTTTGTGGCATCAGATGGAGAATGTTTACGTGTTTATCAAGCTGTTATAGATGCCAGAACATTGTTAGCAGAAGTATCCAGTTCAGAACACCGGAGTCGAATGGCTGCAGTAAGAATTATAGTTTTGGTGCAGTTTTTTAATAGTTATAAATTTAATGAATTGTTATAGGACTCAATGGTGAGTTTGTCAACCGATGTTTCTTCTGAAAATGATTTGAAACATAATTCATTGCACGATCGTATCAAAATTGTTTCTCAGCAATCTACTGCTAGACCAGGATGTATTATTCAATTGGACGCTATATCTGATGCAACACATGTAAATTGCTATTAAATTATGAATATTTGCAATTTGAATAAGTCAAAATATAATCATTAATAATTATTTTCATTATAGGATTGGCAAAATACTCAATTTTTACATGTATTTCAAGAACAGTTGATGACTGGAGAAAGAGCATCTGGTAGAGGCTTAGTAGACGCTATACCAGGTTTAGACAGTGAAGAACCTGATGATGATTTTGAAGAACCATTTTATTTAGTGGTGCTTGAACGAACTGTTCAAGGTACAACTGTACATATGTGGCGTTTAATAATAGCCTCTCAACCTGAAAATAATCGTATGTTTAATTTTGTTTTTTAATTTATAATTATCAAATATTTTATATTTTTATTTTATGAATAGCTTTAAGTGAAAGTATGATGTATGTGCCTGATAGTCAATTGGTACAAGATGATGATGATATAGATAATTCAGGAAAATTAGGTGCAACAAATTTAGGAGGGGAAGAAACAACTCAACCAACATTGTCAGCTTTTGCCCCTCACGTTTCAATATCAACCACAAAGGTAAGTTAATATAGTATGCAATTTAAAAAAATACTTTTATATCAACGTACAATTTTTAATTTAATTATTTGACCTATCAAATAGTTTAATAAGATAGTATGCTTTAAGTTGTATACTATTCAATTTTTAAAACTGTTGTTGTTTAATTTTAGATTTGTACACAAGAATTAAATTTACCTGATGGTGTTGATGTGATTCATGCATCTCCTGCTGGAGGACATTTAAGTTCAGCTTCCATTTACCCAGCTTGTTTTGCGCCTTATGTATTTGTGACTGCTTGTTCAGATAGTACTCTACGGTTTTGGAAATGTAAAATTTCAAAAACAGCTGATGAAGTTAACTACCAGTGGGTTGAATGGGAAATGATAAGAAAAGATCGCAAATCCATGATTGAAATATCAGGTAGAATTTTTTATACTACTAATTACACAGCATATCTTGATTAATATTTATTTTTAGGTCAACCATTAAACATAAGTGCAGCATATAGTGGTCGTATTGCTTGTGCTTATAAATATGGAAAGTCATTTACTAGACCGTCAAAAAAAGACCCCGAATCGAGATATGTGAATTTATGTGTGGCTATTTATGAGTGTGAAAGTACTGGTGGTTCAGAATGGTTACTTGAAGACACAATACATATGAAAAATATTCACTTGCCCAAACTTCATATTGATCCTAGTGTTGATATGACATATTTACATGATCAAACAATATTGTCATCTAAAAAACATAAGTTACAGTCTACAGTTTTAAAAGCATTATCGTCAGAAGACTTGGATGGAACCTCTGGAAGATGTAATGGTAGAAATGGAGATAATGATACTAATTTAGTCAAAAGTAGTCATGGTATGTTAATTGTGTATTAAATATCTCATGAATATTAGTGTAATAACTTATCTACTTTTCTCTTTTCAGGTTTACTGGCTGTTCCTAGTTTTAGTACTCTTCAGTCATTAAGAAAATCTATTATTGAAAATGGTAATACTTGTCCATTAACTCAAAAGCATATTGTTCAATTGGATTGGGTGTCGAAAGAAGACGGGTCTCATATATTGACTGTCGCTGTTGGTAGCAAGGTAAATTATATTTTGATTATGTAATATAATACATACATATAATATGTAGTAAGATTATTAATTTTTATTTAATTTTTTGTATAATATAGATAATGTTGTTCACACCAGTATCTAGTGATTTAGCTCAAGCTAATATGAAAGCAATGAAAGAGTCCCAATCAGTAAACCGTCCAATATTACGAAAAGCTTCATCACTAGCATCTCCCAATTTTGTTGATGAAATAAGGTAAATGTTATACTATAAATATTAACTACTATAGTACTACATGGTTTATTTCACTTTAAACACTCATTATTTCAAAATCTAATAACGCTTTTGAAAAAAAATATATATTGTTATCAATTTTTTTTTTTTTGATTGACAACATTAATTTTAATATCATATTCCCAAGCAGAATATTATCTAGAGTATTTCAATAAAAAATAAAAATAAAATTGTTGACAATTAGTTAATTAATAGTAACTAATATTTGAAGTCTCTCCCTTTCACCACAAGCATGCTTAAAGAGAGGGGTAATCAGCACAGTTCATATAATTCCTTATGTTTGTTTTTTTATTCTTTCCTTGTTTGTATTTTATCTGAGCTGAATAAAATATTATTATTATTATTGTTATAGTTAGTTATAACTTTATAAGTAGGTATTTAAAGTTTAGATTAGTGGAGTTATGACAAACATTTTGTGGGGTGCAGTGGTGTATATAGGAGGTGGGCACAGTAGCTGTAGTCCCCCCCCCCCAAAATTACAGTATTTTTAAATAGAACAACAATAAACCTAACCTGTTGGAAACAACTCACTCAACTCATCTAAATTTTAAATTCTTATACCTCATAGTTACTCTTCCAAATATGGAATTTTATGTTTCCAAAGCACTCCAAGAAATAGTCTGCTTTGTTTTAAGAAATGTATATTTTCATTAAAAAAAATTATACAATTTTAAAACTAAACATATTAAAAATATTGTTTTGTAACAATTTTAAATTATATAAAAAAAAAATATTGATAGCTTTTGTGATATTGAGTATTCTTTGATAAGAGAATGACTCCAATGCCATAAAGTAAACGTTGTATGTAAAATATAATGTATGCCTTATCAGACGTATTTTGATATTGATTGTGCTTAAATTAAATTGTTCAGATGGATGAAACTCAGAAAAATTGATCTTACTACAGCGGATGGTTTGCCTCCACTTCCAATGCAAATATCTTGGGTTCGTGATGGTATACTAGTTGTAGGCATGGACAGTGAAATGCATGTATACTCACAATGGAAACCAAATACATGTGAGTAAATTGGAGGATTATGTATCAACAATATCTTAAAATATTTAAAATATGACAATTTTAAACCACATTTAGATATGATACAAAAGAATGCGTTGTTGTGTTGCAAGTTAATACATCAAGAATCTGATGAGCTTCAAGACACTAGAAATTTAAGAGACGAAGATCTTAGAACATTGGCGCATGTAATTTCATATATTTAAACAACAAATAACTCTAAAAAAAAGTATTGTATTTTGTATTGTTATCATACATAGGAAACATCCCAAAGGAGACTGGCTAACGTAAGTTCAATGCCTCATTTGTCTCGTGTCAGCTCAATTAATTTAAATATGTTAACTGCTGAGACAAAAAAAAAGAAATTGGGTATTCAAAATGGTGAATCTTCGAATAATATTCAAGATTCATATATGCCAGATTATGGACTATTTGAAGCTAGTCGTATAGCATGTCCAGTTCTTCCTCAATATCACCCTAAACAACTTATGGAGCTATTGAATTCTGGAAAAATCCGTTGGGTGAAAGCGATTCTTGCACATCTTGTCAGGTAAATCAATCATATAAATTATTATTATACATTTTTTTTTTTACTTATTTGAAATTAAAAACATTTGTAGGTGTATTTCAACAACATGTAGTGTAAGACAAGGTGCTGTTGTGTGTTCATATTCAGAAGAAGATAATTTAACTCGTCAAAGAGGGTGGTCAAGATCAAGAACATTATCTGTGAGCTATGCTGGAGCTGGTAAGATACATATTAAAAATATTTTGATGGCATTCATTTGTTTATAAATATCATTATTATCATTATTAGCTACAAGTCCAATGGAACCTAGAGGATCCACTACCGCAATACCAGAGGAACTGATGTTGGATTATGCAGAAATCACTTCTATTCCACCTTTACCTTTATGGACACTATTAGCCGCTGATAAAGAAAATGCCAGTTCTGCTCTTAAGTTAGCTGAAGACGAAAAAGATTATAACGAATTATTTAATGGAAACATTTCAACATCAGAAGATAATCTGGATGACATATTGAATGATGAATCAGAACCAGAAAGCCCTCGTAGGTGTGAACGTCAATCTAACGCAACAGAAAAACAACAATGTCTACTTTCTCATTTTGGGCCAAAACAAGGTCAACTCTTGTCTCGTCTGTTAACTCATACACATTTGCCTGGTTTATCAAGTTTAGATCAAATGCACTTGCTAGCTCTTGCCGATACTGTTTCTACATGTAACACCGATTTTGCCGATAGGTTTGTTGATAAAACTCAATTTGCTAAAGATAGTTCAGCTCCACATGAAGGTGAAGTGTGTTCAGGTTAGTTTGAGAGGGACAAAGTTTAAGGAATAAAAATTAACTACGATTATATTATGAACATTTTAGATTCATTGGATGACTGTGGTCTTAGATTTTTGTTAGCCATGAAGCATTACAATTATTTATTAAGATGTTTGGGTGTAGCTCAGCGTACTCAATTTCAAAAAAGAGGAATGTGTTCAGCAGATATTGCATGGGCATTCCACTCCGAAAGCGAAGAAGAACTATTACAATTAACACCTTCTTATGTACGAGGTACTCCACGTTGGTCAGCATTAAAAGAATTAGGTGTTGGGTGGTGGCTCAGAAATCAGACATTATTGAGAACGTGTATTGAAAAAGTAAGTTTTTGTTTCAAGATATAAGTTTAAAACTAATTGTTATTGATTAAAATAAATTTTTTTTCAGATCGCAAAAGCAGCATATCAGGCAAACCAAGATCCTTTAGATGCTGCTATATTTTATCTTGCAATGAAAAAGAAGTCTTTAGTTTGGGGATTATTTAGGTCTAAAAGAGACGAGCGAATGACACAATTCTTTTCCAATAACTTTGCTGAAGACCGTTGGCGAAAAGCAGCGCTTAAAAATGCTTTTGCATTACTTGGAAAACAACGATTTGAACACGCCGCTGCATTTTTCCTTTTAGCTGGAGCGCTTAGAGATGCAATTGAAGTGATTATTTCATATTTTAAAATGCATTAAATATTTCAATATAAATAATATTAAAATCAAACTTGATATTTAGGTATGCTTGAATAAACTAGATGACTTACAATTAGCTATGGTGATAGCTCGGTTATATGAGGGTGAAATTGATTCTACTCCACCCAGTCTTAAACGACTTTTGTATGAGGTATATTTCCAATTAACTGAAAGACCAATTAATTAACTGAATTGTGTTCATTCTTAGTTTAACTTACTTTTTGTAGGAAATACTTGGTTGTGATCAAAATGGTGAAAATCAAAAATTATCTATGGCTAATCCAGACCCATTCTTACGTTCTATGGCTCTTTGGATACTTAAAGATTCTACTGGAAGTCTTAATACATTAGTCCAAATGAACGTAGGTACAATGCATCCACAATATAATGACGAGGAAAAACAAGAAACTTCAGCTGGTATGTTAAAAAATTTAAAGTACAATTATTAATATTTTTAAAAATATATATATATTGTTTTTAGCAAATCCTAATGTGTTCAATTTCTACGTTTATCTTCGTACACATCCATTATTAATAAGACACTATTTGGCATCCACTTATCAAGATAAAAAGAATCATACTGTAGTATTAGCTGGTTTTAGTTACGGTTCTGATGCTAGGTGTAGGGAAACTTCAGATCGACAAGTAACTAAAAATTGTATTCAAATTTAAAGTTGATGTTTATATGTGCCATTTTTTCAGTTAATGTTAGAGGATTCCATTTCTCCATTAGAAAGACAACTTATTTCAAAACTGCACATGCTCAGGTTTAAAGCAGGATGTCCTGCAACTTGCTCTTGAAGTTTATCAAAATTACCTATAAAAATAATGGATCCTTCTACAGAACAATCTAATAGTAAGTACATTTATACTAAACTAATATTATAAATCATTTACCCATATTAAGGCATGGGCCAAAGCGACTGCACTTTTTTACATATTTAATAAAACATATATATTTACATTTCCAATCATTAATACTCAATATACCTTTTAAAAATAGATATCAATATTCAATTTAATTACTTATATAATGATTTAAACTACGATAACATTCAAAAATATACCTATAAATTTAAATAAAACTCATATTTCCTTTCATTTTTTTTTAATATTACCCATTTGATGAATAAGGGAGTAACTTTTTGTCACTGTCTAAAATATTAATTTGTTTTCATAAAATTAGTAAAAATGTATGAAACAACATTTTTATACTTAAGAATTATAACACAGTCGAAAATATCACGATGCGACTAGCATCAGGTTAAAAAAAAGTGATAACTTATAATATTTTCCACAATATATATTATTAAAATATTATATCAAATTTTCCATTTAAATTGAGCAAAATCTTTTCATTATTTAAAATGTGTGTAAGTAGTTTAGTATGAAATAAAAATATAAGCATTATGTTTTATCTACCAGTAATTAATTGATGAATATTATATCTTAAGTTTAAAATGTCACTACCCACTAGTTTGCAAAAAAAAAAGAAGTAGTGGGTATTTACTTGTCTTTTTCTGAGATTATCGAATATATTAAGAAATCACTAGAAATAGATGTCTTGGTTTTTTTACGAGTCTGGTAATACTAAGTTCTTGGAATCTTATAGAGTCTGCTTATCAAAGACGTTGAATACTTAGAGTACAAAATCTAGTTTTTGGATCACTACAATGTTTGCTGTAATTAATATACCAATATGTATGAAAATTATAGTTTTTATGAATGTTTGATTATTTTTTAAGAATATAATATAATATACTAATTAGTAATTAGTAATTACTATCCATAATTATTCATTAATATTTATAAATTGGGATTTTTTAAAAATATAATTTTATAATATCATAAAACTTATAATATTGATAAAAAAATTGATTGGAAAAATGTGTGAAGAAGTATTTTCTAATACACATATTACATAAATAGCTCATTGGGTATTTAACAGTGCTACACTAGTGTATATATACCAATCCTACTTAGTCATAATATCTGTATTATTTCTACCTGGTTTTATTTGCCTCATACTATCTTCAAATATATATTAATTGTTGTACATTCATAATAACCGTAATAATATTTTTTATTTTTTATTCAAAGTTTAAAATAAAGATTTCTTATTATTTACTTTTTTATTTAAATAAAAAATAAAAATAATATAGTTAAATGACACAACCTCCTCGATTTATAAATCTGAGACCCATTTTGTTACAATATAAAAATATATTAAAATAAATAATAATATAACAGCTAAATCAGCTCATTGAAAAAACAAAACATCTTGATCAATAATAATTTACAATAACTTGTATGATATCTACAAATTTAAATTTTTTGAATGAAATAATTAAGTTAGAAAAATTCCTATATATTTAAAAGGTTTAATCAATGCTTAAATTTTTAAAAGAATTTATATTATCCTTGTCATTTTCTCCAACTGTTGTATCTACTTCATCTTTAACATTACCATTTCTTAATTTTTCTTCATCCAAAAAGTAATCGCGATTATCCAATAATTTTTGTTTTAAGATTTCTGTAAATATAAAACAATTAATATTCATCAAAAATAAAATTCCATAATGTTTACTCGAAATTTACCATTTGTTTCGCTCATAATCGGTGCAAGACCACCATAGTCCTTAGGCACGATTGTTTGTGGCAATGTTTTTATAAATTCATTAGTCTTCGGAACTGATTTTATTATAACCTGTAGTAAAAATAATAAAATAAAATAATTTTATTGACACAAAGCTATTAAGTCTATTAAATGACATAAGTTGTATGTTTTACTTTATTTATCAATGAAGAGCTCATGAATGGTTTCATCATTGAGAATAATCTTTCAGTTCCTGAGGTGACGTTGAGAATGTAAATTTTATCAATCACAAATGGCGTACCTTCCTAAAAGTATAAATTGTGCGAATATAAAGTATTGTCTAGTAGTGTGCTTAAAAAAATTTAGTCGAATTTTACCTGGACGTATAACATTAAATGTCTTGCGTTTGATAGGGAGTAACGTAATGCGTGGCTTAAGCTAAAATTATTCGAATCCAGTACCATTCTGTACCCCGACTTAGTACCGTATTCGACTTGGTCGAGTTCGATGGCCATAAAAGTTAGTTTTGACGCCACAGTTGGATAATATTGTGATGCATCCACGATTTTTAATTGCGACCATATATAGCTGTAGCCATTTTCTTCGTCCGGAATTATGTTTATATTACTGAACAACAAACGAATTTTGATTATTATTCGTACGAATTACCAATATATAACAATTTGCGTAAGACAATTATATTTATACTTGCTTACACAACATCCAATTGTTTTTGATTGAAAGGATGTGCAGGGTCTCTTGCCGAAAAGAAGGGAGTGCACTTCTTAGCCCGTAAATTATAGCACTGACTTATTACCTTTTTTGTATATTCTTTATCGTAGTTACACGCATGCAAAAACATTATAATCTGAATATCTGTAGAAAAAAATAACATATTCATTTTTTAATATACGTAATTATTGCAAATGTTTAGCAATCTAAAAATACTAATATTTAATATTTCCGTTTTAATGGATGAAAAGCTAACTAATATATTTAGGTACAGCAGGTTAAGTTCCATATTTACCGATTTATTTAGGTTTTCTGGACCATAAATATATAATAAATATTCACAGAAAAACAAGTTTGCAATAACAGTGTAAAGGTTTTTAATTTTATATTCTTGAAAATTTGAAATAATACTCAAAAAAGAAATCGCTGATTAAATTGAAATTGCATATAAATATAAGTACGTGTCATAAATAGTATTTACAAAAATTACAAAATAAGTGATAGTTGTTTAAAATGTCCTTTAAAATATTTAGTAGAGTACATTATGCTAAATTGTACGTGTTAAAATGTTATTATATCAATTTTGACGTAATGTATGATATATGAAAAAAAGCGTTTTACATAAAAAATATATGCATGAGTACATCGGCACTATAAAATATTAATTACATTATTGTATACAAAATTAAAAGAATTTTTATTATGTAAACAATGTATGATTTTTTTTCTCACCTATAGTTTATTGTTAAAAAATTCGTTGCTGACCTTAACCTAATAGTTAAAAATTGATTTTTTTTTTATAGATTTGTTCCATGAATTTTTGATGATTTATTACGACTTTTCTTAAAATAACTTGTTTAACATATAAGTTACAAATAATTATAATGCATTAAAAAACGGCATATTTTCATATTATACTTAAATTGAATAAGATGTCAAACACTCACCAATCAATTTTCCATATAAATTTATATTTTCGTCACTCCACTTTAGAAGCTCTTCTACATCTGTGGCAGATAGTTGTGGATTTTTTTCATACTCTTGCTGAGCAGTAACTTTATAGTATTTTTCTAAAGTTTCCATTATTGTTAAAAAAAATTAAAATACTACGGAATTTTTAATGAAAATGTTAAGTATGCAACTCAAATTAAACTATATATTAAATTATTTGATTAATATTACATATATATGTACATCATATTAGAGAGTGGCTGTTCACCGTTCGACCTCGTTTGTGTGACTACCTCTGGAAGTCAACTCTACGTGTCTTCTATACTACGTTGTCCTTGAATAAAACTGGTCTTGCGTACCTCGTGCTCTGACGTATATGATTTGTTTTTAAATTTAAAAAATTTAACAATTTGAATAAATCGATAATGCATCGAGGTTTTTGATGATTATTTTCCATCGTAAAAAAATTTAATTACCCTTAATAACCCATCAATTTTAGTGTTCTGTAATTTTGGTATAGCTTATAGTATATTATAGTATCTTATATTTCTATAATTTTTCAGATTAAATGTATTGAATTATATCTCTAAAAATTAATGTGATCCTATATTAAATCATACGAAATGTACTTGTAGTCCTATATATTTTTGATTTTAACAATTCGCTATAAACTATATAATTGATAGACAGAAATTCGCGATAAATTTATAATAAGAGATAAATATAAGATCCTATGCCTAATATATGTGTACGACGCATCACTGTTTTTCGATGAATAAACAATTAAACAAATTTGGCCCTATCAAACATATTTTGTTTGATTATTAATTATATAATAACAATAATATGAGCAATTTTATTATTAACATCAAATTAGATTTGAAGAAACGTATAGTAGTTTATTAATTACAACAAATCACTGTGGTTATCATGTATAACCTTGTTGATGATGTAGCCAATTTCTGAATACTTAATAGTGACTAGTTTCATTTGGAAGGAAAACTACTGCAATTCTATAGTATTTGATTAAAACTCGTATCGTTGAAAGTTATACGTAGTTTTTGTACTAGCGCACTACTTGTTTTCTCTCTCTGACCCACGCGTAACATTATATGTTATATTATGGCAAATTTGAGTTCAACAGAACCGATATTCTGTTGTATTGTTAGCTGTTATACGAAAATGAATCTACCTGTATTAATGTATTATATGTGTTTGTACTTTTACTTTTTTAAGGTATTAAAATTTTTCTGAAATTTACCTTTGAGCGTTTTTAAATTGTAATTTTTTACTTACTTATAATTTGGATAAAAATGAAATATCATACAATACCAAGGTACAAACACAGATTATGTTCTTCACTTTATGTCTAACTATGGGTTAATTATCTGTAATATTAAAACTAACAACACGAGATTCGTTCTACTGAAGACAAATTGTCTATGATGCTCGTTGGTCAGAGAGAGAAAACAAATAGTTCGCCGACATCCTCTTAACCGTGAAGTATGTTGTTAGATTGATTCAAAAGTTAAAACTGACCATAAACAAACTAATAATTTACATTTTAGTTTGGTTTTTTAGTAGTATTTCTATAATATATTAATTAATGATATACTCAGCAGGCCGCGTACATGGGTAACAATTTCGGTATGGGCCAGTTTTGGTATGAACACAGCATTATAATGGTCTCCCTCGAGTAAAAAATATCATAAATAATAATATATACTACCCTAAACCATCATCAATATACAGTGCCGCTCTAACCACCAATAACGCCCTAGGGCAACAATATTTGACGCCCCTCACCCTCCCACCAAAAAATCTCGACTTCGCATTTTTAGCTTATAATTAACCACATGTTTAATACTTATTAATTAAAGGTTCCTACTTATTTTTTTAAATATTATTATTGGGATCATATTTATTTTGTTTATATTTGAACACCGATTTCATTATTCTGGGAACACTCGTACATTACAGAAAGAAAATATATATAACTATTTTCACAAATTAGTACCTAGATCTCATTATAAATCATACATTCTGCGTTTCTGCGTGTGTAATAACAGTGTAGTATAACAATCAACATTGTAAATTGCACAAGTGAATATAAGTGATTATAAAATTCAAAGGAGGGCATTAACTAGTTGAAAAGTTAAAGTTCAGTTAAAAAGTTAATTTTTTTTAACTTTTTAACTTAACTAGTTAGTTTATTTTCTAATCAACTTATGAACTTAAATAGTTTAATTTACAATTGAAATAACTTAGCTTTTCTCAGTTGATTTAAAAAAATCCATTAAGTTAAAACATTTTGAAATTGTTCGTTTATAGGTACTTAAATATTACGGATTTCGAACGCTCATAAAAATTTAATTTGACTTTCTTATAGACATTTTTTTTTTGATAAAGGTAGATAATTTTATAAGGAATCTTGTATTACATTTTCAAATCTTAGATTTAAAAAGAAAAATTTTTACGAATTCTCAACTCAAAATAATTTGCTAATTTTCGTGATTTTTCCATATTTTTCCATATTTTGTCAATTTTTGAATATTAAATGCTTATAAAAATAATTGTGACTAAGGATTTTTAATATTTTTCATTTGCCTTTGAAACAATATACTAATAGCCCTCTATTTAATTTTCAAGCTTTTTTAACCAACAAATACAATTTTATTGATATTTTTAGAATAAAAACTAAAAAAAAATGGAAAATGAAAATGTCCCTAAACAGTTCAAATTTAATCAAAATATTTTGAAAATGTTATCGTGTATACAGAATGTAAATATAAACAACCAGTGAAAATTTCTTGTATATACGTTCATTTCTTTTAGAGTTACACCAAAAATCAAAATCGATTTTTTGGAAAACAGATTTTGCGTAAAAATTCCCGTTTTTCCTTAATTTTTATGTTGTTTTTCCCGGTGCTTGTGAAAACTACTGGGAAATTTTTACCCCCCCACCCCCAAAGTACCAACTAGATTCACTTTCCTATCAGAAAAGATACTGTTGAAGAAAATCCAAGCACTTTTACTGTCCTAAAACGTGATGACAGACACAAAAATAAAAAAGGTACTACTAGGTACCAAAGATATGAATTAGTTTAGTTTATAAGTATATTACAATATAGTATACAGTATATTACTTAATTATTGTAATGATGTATATACATATTTAAAATATATTTCATGTGCTTAAATAAATTACTATTGTAATCTTAATAATCTTATAAATTATAAGTATTAATATTTTTATTTGTTTTTATGAATATTCAATATATTATTATTGAAGTTATGTCGCATTAAGATTTAACACATTATTTACATAATTGTATACCTACTTAATAGTATACAATTTGATAGATACTCATCTTTGATATTACAGTATAAACAAAAAAATAATACCTAAAATAAAAACACCAAATTTTTCTTTTTATCATCCATTTCTAGTACGCCCCCTAAATTCATAATACTTTAGACGCCCTAGGGCACTTGCCCCATTTGCCCCCCCCCCTTGGGACGGCTATGTCAATATATCATTTTTGTTAGGTGGCAAATTCACTCGTTACTGACGCTATATTTAGCTACCTATTATTTGTATTCTATATAATATAATATATATAAATATGTTTCACTTCCCCCCCTCCCACCTTGTACATATTCGTAAATCTCGCGTATAAACAAATACGTTCATACGCAAAAAAGTTTAACATGACTTATAAATCAATAATGTATAAAATTATCACTGTAATGTTTGTCATTTCATTGTTTGAATTAAAATAGATAACATACAACAAACTATATTTTAAATAAAATAATGAAACAACAAACGTCAGTGTTAATATATATTAATGATTTATAAGTTATGTTAACATTTTTAATTAAACCTGTCATTTGAAGGTGGGGCTTGACCCAGATGCCTCCTCACGCCACTGACACTTTCAAACATATTAATATATTGTATTAGAATTAAAAATAAATTAAAATCAAACGTGAGTGGTTTTGTGCAAAATCGTTTATAAAATAACAATAGGTACTGACGAGGTCTGAACCAACAATATGTTATATTATGTTATATTTATATTTTTTATAGTTATAAATGGTTCTACTAATTGTAGAAATAATGACGAGATAAATATAAAAATATAAATTATATAGGGATATACTTATTCAAACAATGAATTAATATAATAATGGAGTATGAATTTTCATTAAAAACTAACTTACGCCTACTTTCCTTTATCGCGTATTATACATAACATTGTTGCGTCTTTTAATTATTAAACTTTCCATTATTAATTATTATTTATTAGTGACTGCAACAAAAACAAAAATAATTTATCATTAATATAAATTAAATTAATGTTTAGGACTTAGGTATATTATCAATATTATAACTGAATAAAATAGATTTTTTTGGTATAAACGATAACCGTAATTTAATATTTACTTTATTTCATGATTTGAAAATGTTATCAAAAATTTAAAAAATATATGAAACATATTCTATCACTAAAATTATGTTCAGTAATAGCGTTGGTTTTAAATACCATATTATATTATTTATAACTAGTATTTATAATTACTGATAATATCGATAATAATAATTTGACATTGTGACATCTGTTATTAACTATTGTTCTAAAAAAAAAATGCTGAACACAAATCGACTTTACGATTACTTATTAGTTAATATATCTTAAATGTAATACCCTACTTAAGGTATTGCTAGAGATATTTACTTTGTGATTATAATATTATGATAAATACCATAATTTATTTTTTGTAGTATTTCATAAGACTATAATATCATATTCAAACTGGCTCGTAAATTGCAATAGTTTAAGCTATACCTAATACTATAATTAATAGTTTTATTACAAAATATAAAAACGATATTATCATAGGCATTTATTATGAATGTTTTAAAAGATACTTTATAGTCATATATATATATATATATATATATATATATCGATATCTCATGTCATGTATCGCTAAGATGGCGTATCACGTAACATTTTCTCTCTGTCTTATGTATTTAAAATAAAGTACAATCTTATCTTCGTGATTATAGTTATTAGTTATTACGTCATTACAATTAAGGTATGAAGTGAATTGTGAAAAGTGTGAAGTCCTAATAATCGAAATATATTTCGTTTAAACGTCCAATTTCATCAACATGACAACATTTAACAATGCATTGAATATGAATTTGTTAATTTTCAAAAAAAAATTAGCTATGAATAGCTATGAGTATAAGTATTTTTAAAATTCCGTAGACCCAATTATGGTGAACTATATGTTCAAGTGTAAGCTATAAAAATGTTAATGCATTCTTAATTCCAAAATAATTTTCAAATTTTCGGGATTATGTCAACAAAAAATCTACACGTACATTTTCGATATTTTGAAGCTACTAAAAGCTTATGACTTATGGGGAATCTCGTACTACGTTTTCAAGCTTTTTGACGAAGAAAAAAAATGTTATCAACATTTATACAACAAATATTTTGTAAAGTATTGGATATTTTTTTTATAAAAGTTAAAGACGGGAATTTTTTTGCTCATTTCCTCAACACAACATTTTAGAACTAAACCAATACAGTTAAAATAGCTCAGCTTAGAATCCAAAACTAATCAATTTATTATACAGTAATAACTTAATTACTTCAGTATGCTACGATTATACAATAGCAAACTGCTGATTCGTAAACAAGAAAGGTTTTTTAATAACTTACAATTAATTGCTATGATTAAATTTATTCCGACATCGTTACAAACATTCTATATTCTTTTATTCATATATAAATGTGTATGAATATAGGAAAAGATTCTAAAATAATATTAATATTTTTAAAATAAAACCTCTACATATATTATATTGAATTCGAAATTAAAAACCCTTTCTATAGGTATGTATCTACTATAAGTATATAACAGATATAAAGTCGGTCTGAATGGTTTTTAGATTTCTCAGTCAGAGTAGTAGTTAGTTTTTTTTTTAGTACGATTTTATTGGTTCTGGAGACGTCAGTACCTACCACCTAAATCGATATGACGTCAATAGTCCGTAGCATAATAATTTATTTTTCTAAACTGATGTGTTGAAATGAAACGGAAGATTCGTCAACCTCTGTCAGTAATCACTGTTGTAGTCAGTACCTTCATTATTCATTATATACTTCGCACTATTATTTCGGTTAATTTCAGTAACTATCCTTCAAACAAAAATCTTAGTACGAATACGTTGGTACTTATAATATGTCCAATATGGTTGTTAATAATTTATCGCGATAACGTGCGGAGAGGTTCGTGAAGACCGAAGCCCCCCCTCCCCCCAATAGAATCAATCGCTTGACCTAATGACCCATAGTGATGGATCATTAATGTGACAACTACCTATGTATATTTTATGGGTTATTATTTACCATATTTGTAAATTATATATAAATAATGAATATGATCAATATCTACAAAATACAACAGTTTTACTGTTAATAATACCCATGAATAATATTATACAATCACAACAAAATAACTAAAATAGTTATTCTAGGTTTTTTATTATGTTATTTCGTCCCAATTTGAACTTAAAATGACTATAAAAATAAACGGTCCTTCTGTATTTTTTAGATTTTTTGGTAACAGAATTAACTACTTACGTGGAATCTTGTTTTAAATTTTCAATCCTTAGGTATAAAAGTTGAACATTTTATAAATTTTTAACTACAAAATAATTATCCAATTTTAAATTTGATAAATTTTGTCAACATTTGATCTTTAAATGCTTATAAATAAAAATTGTGCCTATGTATTTTAAATATTTTTCAACTGATATTGTAACAATATATCAGGAGCCTTGTATTAAATTTTTACCCTTTTTGGCTGAACAGATAAAACTTTATTGATATTTATAGAAAAAAAAACTAAAAAAATTGAAAACTGAAAATGTCCGTAAACAGCTCAAAAAGAGTCAAAATATTTTCAAAACTGTATGGTGTATAGGAAATGCTAATATAAACATTCAATGAAATTTTCATGTATCTACAGTTATTGTTTTTTGAATTACAACAAAATAAAGAAATCGAGTGAATATCCAATGTTGTAAAAATTTGAATTTCAAACGCTCATAAAAATTTAATTTGACTTTCTTATAGACATTTATTTTTTTGATAAAGGTAGATATAATCTTATAAGGAATCTTGTTGTCAATTTTAAAATCTTATTTAAAAAGTAAAATGTTTACGAATTCTTAACTCTAAATGCTCTAAATGCACCTACGAAATTCTCTTCCCAATCGAAGAAGATACAGAAGTTGAAAATCGAAGCATTATTTCGACTACTTATCGTGTACACACACAAATAAAATTAAAAATTAAAAATACAAAAAAAAACACACATCATTGTAAAATCAATACATTCATCGTTCCACTCAGAATCTAAAATCCTTATGTTCTCAAACTGATAACTTTAATTTTATTTATGTTATACAAATAATAAAAACGTTACAATACACAGATATAGTTGTTCCCTATGCGTTGTGGAATTTTGGTAATTCTACTATAAATACCGAGAGAGTGGTTCTATCCCGCGCAAAACAGTTTTTTGCTGTGTTGTACATTTGTAAGACGGATACAACGCATGCGGGTATAGCGTCCTCTTAACGAAATATGATTCTGACCGAAGACAAAGACAGACGCTAAGATAAACGTTCATAAAAATTTAATTTGACTTACTTTTTTTTAAGGGAGAAAATCTTCTAAAAATGTTAATATAATATATTTCTAACTTAAAATAATTTGCAAATTTTCGCAATTTTGACCAATTTCGTTAAAATTCTAACTTCAGACACTCGTAAAAAATTATTATGAATTTAAGATCAACTTTTTTTTTAAGTAACACTAATTACCACGTATGAGAAACCTTGTATTAAAATAATGTTCATGTTTTTTGACCGAACAAAAATTGTTGTTTGTGAATAGTTTTAAAAAACAAATAAAAAACAAAAACTTCTTATATGAATATACTCGTAAAATATAAATAGCCCAAAAACAATTAAAATGATTTGAAAATTATTTATAGTGGTATAGAAAATGTTAATATAAATATAAATATTTGGTGAAAATTATATGTATTACGGTTATTTTTTTTTTTAGTTACACCAAAAACCCAAAATCCAATTTTGTCTTAAACTGGTTTTTCCTTAATTATTTTTTGTTTTACCCAAAGCTTTTGAAAACTACTGGGAATTATCAATTTTGACCTTCCTAAAGTACCAATCAGATTTACTTTTCCATCAGAAAAAATAATGAAGTTGAAAATCAAGGCATGATTTTGACTACTTATTGAGTATATGTATATACATAAAAATTAAACACAATTAAAACATATTGTAAAATCAATACATTCATCTCTCCACTCAGAATCTAGAATACTTGAAATAACAGTTGATATTCATATACTGCATAATATGACCGAAGTGTAGGACGAGTGACGACTATTATTTCAATTTTATCTGATGACGATTTCGGTATGCAACTAGGTTATAAAAAAGGTATACTGGGTCACGCATGTATGCTTTGACATATTTTTGACATTTTGGATCCAAGCACAACTTACTATTAAATAAAATCTTAGATGACGCAAGTATAGTAGGCACTACATTTTTCCCGAAATGTATACACATAGTAAATATGACCCGATTTAATCAATGGAATTGTTAGAGTTTCAGCCAAACACACTTAAAATATATGGAAATAGTGAAATATTAAGTATTAAATACATAGCTTACTATTTAAAAACAAATTATTTCATGATAACAACATAATTGTTATTTTTAAATTAAATAAAAAATCTGATTGTTAGTAACACTACATTTACTTACCCTAATTTTTGTATATTATTTAATATTTGAATAAAATGAAAAATATAAATATTTTGGAAGGTGATGGAATTATTCCCTTGCAGTGATCTCCTCTGTTAGGTAGGTAGTTGGTACATATTTGCACACGCCTTCAATCAATCGATTATGCTCTTAGGCATTTTTAAGATTTTAATTATTTGTTTTTGTTATATATTGTCAATTTGATAAATAAATTATCATATAAATTAAAATATAAATAATTTTTTTAATTTGCCGATATTTTATCAAGGTTTGGTCAGCACGCCTACCCGAAGTCGTGACATTCGCATAGATACTGGTATCTTCATGAATTATGAAGTAGAGAAAAAACCTGTTGAAGCCGTCAATCTAGATGTAGTTGTGAACAATGCCGTGAGTGCTGGGGAAATAGATTGGTCTACACCAGTAATGAAACCTAAAGACGAGCTTGTACTGGACTGGAGTGATAAAGAAGATGACGAAGATGACGATGAAATAACAGTGGAAGAACCAAAGAAAATTGCCAAACAAGAATCAGTGGAAAGTGAAAAATCAAAATCAGATTCAAAAGCATGCAATCTTGATGTAATGGCTCAACAACTAAAATTTGTTGCTTGCCTGAAAATACTTATGGAAGAATTATCTACTTTGGCTACTGGATACGAGGTAGATGGTGGAGAGCTAAGATATCATCTATACTTGTGGCTTGAGAGAGAAGTTGATGCTTTAAGACACTTATGCAACTATAGTTCCAAAGATTCAATGATTGTTCAATGTAAGTATACAGTATGCAATGCATCATGATTTGCTTACATGTTTATTAATGTATCAATATTTACAATGTTATATTTCATATAGACGAGGGAGGCCTTGAAACATCAATCTTGGATAATCGGGAGTTTACGTCAACACCTACACTAAAGAATTCGGTTGACAAACCAACCCTGCATGATATTTTACTTGCTGAGAAAATAGATTTTGAAGCAAAGGTTCAAAGAGCAGCTAGAAGAAAGAAATGGCTCAAGGGTACTAAAATTAGTTGTTAAGTAACAAATTAAAATGTTGACATATTTTATACATTTTTCAATTTTTTAACACAGAAAACGAAACCCTTTTAAGAACATTACTAAGCTATTGTAGTTTGCATGGAGCTGGAGGTGGTGGTTTGGCATCAGTTCGGATGGAATTAGTACTTCTATTACAAGAATTACAACAAGAAAAAACTCAACAACAGTTACTATCTCCACTGCCATTCCCCACTACTTTGCCATTATTGTCAGCAAGTGTTGCTTGTAACAAAACTGTGATAGCCGATCCTGTTCGATACCTTCAGGTAAATTATTCAATATAGTTTTGAAAATAATTTTTTTTTTAATGTGTGATTTGATTAGTAAAATATGGTAATTTATTTTTGTTTAGGCGCAAGCACACGATATGTTACAAACAGTCATTGATATTCGATGCCCACCTTTATTGACACGAATGGATCTTAGTTATTTGTTTGTTCTAAGGGATCTGTCAGTGGCTTTGTCAGCTTGCTTTTATCAATCCCTCTGTGATAGTGACACAGTTGCTGAAAGTTATCAATCGGGTGCTGACAATCCAACTTATTGCAGCCATCTCATTGCAGCAAAAAATAGAAAACGTCGTTACAGTATAGATGAGCCAATCAAAGTGACCACTCCGCCTTCAAAATGGCCTGGAGTTTCAAGCCTACGGGCATTATTAGCACATGATAAAGACGAGGACGCACCAAAATTAAACACTTTGTTATGTGAAGCTTTTGTTGCTACTTATATGGGTTTATTAGTGTATGCATTTGCCACATGTGATTGTCACATATTATACCGATTAGTAGGACAGAAATTTTCTGAAAATACATGGAGCACGCTTTTTGGAGGTGGCGTTAAAAAACTTTTAAAAGTTGCGCCTACAGCTCCCAAAAGTCGAGTAAGTAAAATTTATAATTATTTTGATTCATATGTTAAATTAAATCTATATTATTTGTCATATTACAAAAATTGTATAGCCCAATAGCTTAGAACGAGAGAATAGTGCAAGCAGTGATATTGGTGTATGGACGGCAGTTACGAGCTTAACTAAACAAAAAGTACGGTTAAATATGAAACTCCTTGGTCAATTTGTTGGCTCTCCTGGTACGCCTACTATAAAAGAAGATAAACCAACTTACAGAGAACATTTTGTGCCTCCTGAAATGTCTATGATATCATATTTTTTGAACAAAGTAAACAAACATATTATATTTTTCTTATTTGGCTTTTGGCATCTATATTGTATGTTTTGCAAATTTTTAGCCAAATTTGGCAACTGAGGTACAAGATGTAGATTATGATTCGGCGGACAGCGCTGTTTCTGATTTGTCAGAAGATGAAGATGAAGATTGTGACATTTTTGACAATACTCAAGACAACAAAAGCAAAACTGGTAAAACTGAAAACACTGAACACTCAAATCCTTACAGTTATGCTTGGATGGTGATGCGATTAGCCATAATGCAGTTGGTCCAGGAACAGTTGCATGCGTTTCTCACAGTTGCAGCCATTGATCTCCAAGGTAATAAAACATATAAAAAAAACTGAATATTTCAAATCACTTTTTATTTTATTTTTTATTAATTTATACTATTATTAATTAATTGTTAATTATGTCCAATTAATTAAAATGCAGAAGCTATACAAAAATATTAATATTTGAAATTATTAGTAATTAACAAAACAAAAATTATTATTGATAATTCAAATATCCATCATTCATAAATGCAAATGTTGTTAATTTATATAATAAAATTAATACTTATTTATACAATTGTTTATTCAGAATTACCAGTCAGCAGCCCATTGATACACGGCACTCTCAGGGTAGTTAGCCAATGGCAAGAGATTTTAAAGGAAGAATTAGAATCCAAAGGGCCCCCACCTGTTGATTACATACCTGGTTGTTTTGTGGAACAAGCTACCACAGGTCCACCCATTAATAAATACAGAACACTTTTAGATAAAACAAATACCCCATTTCAGTAAGTACTCTGTATAAATTTATATGTAGTATTCTTAATTACATTTTTGTTTAGCCCTCGTCATGGGTCAGCAGCTCCAGCAAGACGATTATGGAACTTTTTGGTTCGCCAAGAATTTGTTCAAGATCTTTTCATTCGTAGTATATTCAGTCGTCAACCACGTGCAGCTGGAAGTTCTACTTTACCAACTATGAACCAAGAAGTAAAATCATGTTCTGGAAGCGAAACACCCAATCCACATTTGCCAGATCCTGTGAGAATTATTCATAAAGAACAAGACTCAATATCTGCTTTTTGCCTTAATTTGGTGTGTATTTATTTTAAATTTAAACTACTTAAATTTATTTTAAAAAAAAACTATTTTTTATTGCAGGCCAACAGTAGTCTCCTTGCACTGGCAACCCCTCGGGAGATACAAGAGATGGACATATCGTTATTACTTGAATCTCCTTCTTGGCTAGAAGATGAATGTGAATTTGACCTTGTTAATCTCTCTAGGTTAGTAATCCTTTACATTTTTATATTCAAGAACAAGCTGGTTCAGGTTGTAAAAATCAAATGGCCCCAAATATGCATTTATACAGCCTTTTGATTCATTTTTATATCTTGGGTTGAAATTTGCAAGCCCGCTACTAGTTTTACTAAATTCGTATTAATTAAAAGTATACTTATTGATAAGTGATAGCTGATTCTTAAGTAATTAATATTATTAATAACTGCTTTCATAATTAAAATAAACAGAGACCATGAACATCAACCATCTAGTTTCCTGGTAATTCAAACGTCTATTGATCGTCCTCTTCAAACATCTCCTGGTACTATTATTGTTAATCCATTGCCGACAAGTCCCAGTGTAACTGGATTAGCTGGCCAGACTGGACGAGGAGCATCTGTGGTAAGTCATCATTGTACTTTAGCTCTCAACTTTCTATTTTTAACCAAATGGAAGATTACATTGATTATTGGGGCTAAAGAGTAAAATTAAATTGTATAGTAATTGTGAATTCAAAAGCGTTATGTGCAGTACGTGAATGTTTTGTTTTCTATGTAATAAGGTACAACAAAAGAGCATACAAGGTTACAGCGACGGAGGGACGAGAGCAATAAAAAGCTCAAAAAATATTATGTCGGTAAGAGGCTATTAATTGTTGCGAGCGTGGGCTTACATTACCATCTGCCGTGTTTTTCTTCTGTGTACAATAATTTGATCTATTATCTATTGAAAAATAATAATTTTTAAATTTTCTCAACAAATATCTTCAGGTGCCAGAATTAAAAAGCTTTGTATACTTTAAGCTTCCCAATTCTTGAGAGCTATCAAAATTTTGAACAAGCGCTTACAAACTTAAGAACACTTACCTCTCACATTTACATTTTATTTTCAGCTATTTATTCTAATCAAGTAAATAATTTGCAAACATAGACTTCACTGATCTTACTCATACATAATAATAATAAAAATTTTTGTATTTTACTCTTATAAAAATGTATACTTGCCTAAACATTGTACATAATAAAATATTAATAATAATTAATATTTTAATATTGTGTAGAGGTACGCCTGTTTTGTTTTTTGTTTGTTATTTGTTTTTGATTTAAATTTTTTTCCCCAAAAGGCTTATCTCTTAAACACTGTTAAAATTATAATATTACTTGAATTGCATAAATGCTTTAACAATACATCATTTGTTTTTAAAATATTGTCATTATTATTGTGTGTCACATTGCTATCAGATGAAGGGACTGAATTTCCCCGGTTGTCACGACCCACGTTTCTGTCAGTTTGTCTGTGACCGCAGTCGACTCCTGCTCAGACCGGTGCGTTGAATTTGATGAAATACATTTTTTTAAAATCAATTTAAAAACTGAGTGTTTCTCCATTGTTATGATTTTATATGTGCGCATTTTAGAGCTTCAACATGATTTGAGCAACCGTATTTATAAAGTTGCTCTTGTTTGGATTTTTTATTTGTATTTTTTTCTGTTTTTTTTATGTAGAATAGACAAGATTTTTTTGTGTGTCGCTTGATGATGCTTGAAATGTTACAATCAACAACGTATAATAATCCTAGAAGTGTTAGCTAATATTATAATACCTGTTTGTCATACTTAAAACAATAAAAAAAAAATACCTCATCAACGTTGTACATACACATTGTAAAAAAAAATATCATTAACCAAAATACTTACCATGTACATATATTTTATTCATTTATATTTCTGCCTATTTATCTAATACTATGATTTGATTTTTGGTTTTTTTTTTTTACTTTTTCACTTTTTTTGTTTAGGTGATGAAACACCGCGTGGACAACATTCGGAGGATATGTCCACATCCTTTGTTACCTGTGTGTTAGTAAATCATTACACAGTTTATTCCCTCGACATTTTCGATAAACCGTGTAGTAGAAAAGTAAATAATTTAAAACGAATGTATTCCGATTAGATTTGACGGGTTCGCAAGACGGTTCGGTGCATATTTGGGAATGGGGTCATCCTCAAACAGTGGCTGAACCTCGGGCAGCCGGTACTTTTGCAAAAGTCACAAGGGTGCGGTTTTCACAACACGGCAACAAGTTCGGGGTAGCCGACGGCGACGGAAATTTATCCCTGTTTAACGTCGGTCTCACGTCGTCCAACTATAGGCCATTTTATGTAAGTGTAATACAATAACGTCAGTTAGATTTCGTTCTCAATTCAAGATGTCTCGTGCGTGTACTTATATCTTTATCTATTTAATTTTCTTATGCGATATTGTTCCATATAAAAATTAAAAAAATTAGTAACGACTCTATAGGATAACTCAAATGTTTCAAATAAAAGAGTCAAAATAAATAATTGGAAAATACAAAATTAAAATAGTGTTTTTATGTAATTAATGGATACTATATTTGGTAATAATATTGATAATAGCCAGTGTTGAGTAGTAACATAATGAAAGTAACGGCGTTACTTTGCTTCTAACGCAATACGTAATTTCATAAGAATTATTTCCAAGTAACGAAAATCTTACGCGTTACCGTTTCGGATTATTAAGTATCTACCTACCTATTGCGAATTGAAAATAATATATGTATAATGCGGGTATTATTATGTTTACAAATCTAATATGTATATATATTTAATTTTAACTCTGCACAATTCAGTTTTCAATGGTTTTGACATATTTTGAAATGTCTAATCTTATTGCACCGTAAATCATGATAACAGTTATTTAAATTTAAAATTTTATTTGATTCCTTTAAATAGGTTTCCTATGAATGTAGTTTGTGTGGAAGACTAAATTTTATATGATCCTATTAACTATATAGGTTTTATAAAGAATTTGCTTGTTCAATTTGCCTGCAGAAGATAATTGCATTTAAATTTTTTTTTTTTTTTTTCGTAACGAGAAAGTAATGAGTTACTTTTCTATTTGAAAAGTAAAGTAATTTCGTTACAATTTTATTTAAGTAACGAGTAAAGTAACTTACCCAACACTGATAATAGCTAATAAATGATCTAAATAAAAATTTGAACTATAGAAATACACGCGATTAATATATTATACAGATATAATATATTATACCTAAACACAGTATCTACCTATAGTGGATTTCCATTATGTGTTTTTATTTCCAGAGTGCATTTTAATTTATTATTATATTTTTTAAATTTTTATATAGAACAATAATATATTTTGTAAATATTGAGGTACCTATAAGGAATAATTCTCAAATATTATATCGCGTAAGAATATTTCAGACTTTTTGTTTGACTCGACTGTAAACAAAATGAGTCAGACTTTTTACAAATCGGAATTTTTGACTGATTAATCTGATCATACTTAATTTTTTTTCCAAGACATTCCAATGCCATAATAAAGTTACCAGCGACTTTGTGTTCCTTGGTTCGTGCAGTCTCATCGCGACGACCGGCCATTCGTCAGAAAACAGAAACGTCGCATTGTGGGACACGCTGTTGCCGCACAAAAAATCATTAGTCACAGGTAATAACGCGATAATATTATTGAAAAAATTTAAAAGAACGTAAGCCCTCCCCCCCCCCCCCGCTCTCAAAATGTATAAACTTGACTGATGTTTGCTTGTTTTGCGATTTTATTTTTTTTTTCATTGTTAGCGTTCGTGTGTCACGAGCAAGGGTCGACGTGTATCGGATTCGCTCCACAGCATCAAGTGATAGTCACCGGTGGACGAAAAGGTGACATATGCATATTCGATGTCCGCGGCGGAAGTGGTTCGATAAAACACCGTTACTTGGGTCACGATTCGTGTCTTAAATGCATGACCATCGACCCTCACGAGCAATTTTATTGTACCGGAGCAGCAGACGGAGACATCAAAGTAAACGCGATTGCTGCACTTCTTGTTGTCGTTGTGGTGAACACATTTTTTCAACCATGTGTTTTTCAGATTTGGAACTTGTCCACCCATCAGTTGATGTACACATTCCCCGCCGAACATGCTCGTTCTAGTTTCTTCAAGCACATCGGTCAAGGTGTCACGCAGCTACAAGTGGACTCGTCTGCAAGACTGTTCTCGTGCGGAGCTGACGGTTCAATGAAAGTCAGACAGCTGCCAGACAGGTATCATTAATGGGATTTAATTTAAATGGTTTGATTAACCATAACTGTTATTCAAATGTTGGAATCTAATTGATTTGCTAAAAATTAATAATTAAAAATATATGTAATCACACATACCACAGAACTAGTCAAAATAATACAATTCTGAAGGGAAATATTGCTTATAAAAACAATTTTCTGTTGTTATATTTGTGTTAAAATTATAAACTTGTGTGTATTAATGAGATTCATCGGAAGTTATTATAGTTCTTATTTTTACTAGTAAAATATTAGGAAATATATTTAAAATACCCCATATTATTATTAAATAATTTAGAGAAATTGTAACTTTGAAATGTGCAATAATGTATTCATTTTTTTTTTTGTTACACTTCGATAGCTATTATCTATTAATTGATATCAGCAATAAATAAAACATATTTTATAATATTATAAACCTTTATAAATATATATCGAGATTACTTCATCACTAGTTCTCCTTTAGTAAGGCGATATTATTTAATACTTTATAATCTTAACGACAAATCTTTAACCAATTTAATATTTTAATCCAGTATTATAAAAGTTCTCATATTTTAATACTTTTATCTACTATATTATTGTCTCTATTCAACCAAAAAAATAATAATACTTTAAATAATATTCACTTATTTATACTATTATTTGAGTTATTCAAATATTTTAATAAATGCATAGCAATGGATTGATATGTTATTCAAAAAATAGAGGTATATTATACCATTTTAATAGAAACGTAATGTTATGTTACATATTATTATAATTACTGAAAAATCAAATATATTCATACAAATTGTAAAAAAGTCATAATAATTGATAATAATTTTAGCTGTATATTTATCTACGGTACAATTAATAATGTACCTAGTGCAGGTTTTTTATTAATATGTACGGGTCTTCTGTGATTTTTTTATTAATTTAAAGTTAGTTTGTTTTTATTTATCATGTAGTTTATTATGCAAGTTTGAGTGTTTTTCATTTTAGATCAAGACTATTGACAATAAAAAGATAGCAACCATTTGTTAAAAACATTATGCAATTTTTTTTTATAACTTTCAAGTTTCATTTATACTATAAAAAAATGTTTCAAAAAATATTTTATCCTGACAAATTAATTTGGCTTCACACAACATATTATGTTTTATCCACCTCCGCTTATATTTTATTTTATGTAATTTAAAACAATGTGTTACTACATTATAAGTTATTATATTATTATTATTATTATTACTTTTAAATAAAACATAATTATACCATGTTGTTGACTTATTTGAATTTGTTTTTATTTTTGTTTAGTAACCATTTTTGATATTCAATTATTTCCCAATCCATAAATACTAAATAACTGACAAATAATATTGTAAATATTTATGTTTTTAATTAGGTATAATTTTGAATTTAAAAGTTTAAACAAACAGTTTATAATATGTTAGAAACATTTCTCAAAACAGACCAGATAAATAAAAAACCGAAAGAAAAATGTCTATATCAAGATATTTACACAATTTAAAAATGTACTTTCTTTGTAATTGAATTATATACCTATCTACTTTCCAGCAATCAGTAATAATGCATTTTTTTTCCCGGCACGTTATAATGTTTTGTCATCGGCCAAAGTGTGTACCAACCATGTGATTCAACAACAATATGACAAAACAAGATCCCAGATTGTGTATCCAAAGAGTAACTTGGTGGCTCTAGGGCCTATAAGAAATGGAGGTTCTTATCAACACAAAAATAAAATTATAATGCATATATTTATTATTCAGTATTCTACTACTTAGGTATACATTTATAAAAATAATGAAACTGTAATAATATAATGCAATATACAATATATAATAATGTAATTGTTTTGTATAATCAATGATAATGTTTAGTATATACAATGTATATATAATGTTTAGTAATCAGTTCGTGTTGTGCGTTCATACGTTATAGACGTCGATTTGGTATTTGTATAAGTGCTCTCTTATCTTAATTATGCCTGGGACCTCCTGCAATATATGTTATAATGCTTTATCTCCTGCGAAAACTGTCTCATGCCGTTCCTGTTCAAAAGGTTTTCATCCTACATGTACGGAGTTAAAATCTTTAACTAACTTTAATAAAATGAAACAAGAAAATAAACCATGGACCTGTTCTGACTGCCAAAGTAAAAATCTCACAGTGAGAAAAAAAAATGATATTTCAAACATTTCGTCAAACACAGATTCATACAGTAATCTTGTAAGTAGTATAAATAATATAAAATCTACTTTGGATGATATTATTTGCAAACTTAATATGCTTACTAAGTCTAATTCGGAATTAGAAAAGTCAGTCAATTACTGTTCGGATAAAGTGGATAGTTTTGATAGTACACTTAATAAATTATCTAATTCTATCAGTGAACAAGGAAATAGAATATCTAAGACTGAATCGAGATGCTTAAACTTAGAATTGGAAATGGAAAAACTTCACTCACATATTAATTTTTTGGAACAAGATAAACTCGTCAATAATATCGAAATAACCGGTATTCCAATGACAGACAATGAAAACACCTTTGAGATAATAAAAACCATATCTAACAAATTAAATATCGAGTTTGATGATAAAAAGGTGATTAAGGCCTATAGAATGCCATTAAATAAAAATAAGATAAACTGCCCTAGTATTATCGTTAATTTTGATAATACTAGCACTAAATTGGAGTTAATTAAAGCAATAAAACTACGCGCTATAAATCAAAATGGGCTTTTGGCTAATGAAATCCATACATCATTTGCTAAGAATAATGTGTACATAAATGATCAATTAACAAAAGACAATAAACACCTTTTCTGGTTGGCTAGATTAGTTTCAAAAAATTATAACTATCGTTTTTCATGGGCAAATCATTCTGGTGTCTTCATCAAACGTGACGAAGGAAGTAGATTTATAAAAATCATATCTATCAATCAACTAAAAAAATTGGACACGGAGAAAAGCGTTACTCAACTTTGGTGATTTAGATTTACACATTTTGTTTTCTCCTTCCCTTCTATTGTTCATGTTAAAATTTTAATTTGTAATAATTATATGTTATTTACATGTGGTTTTCATCAAATAACATTGTGAAAGAAATTACTAACGCTGATAACATTTCCGCAAGTATTGTTAGTAATTTATCTGATATTAATTTCAACAAAAATGATTTTTCTATTTTTTACTGTAATATTCGTAGTTTAGTTTTACACATTGATGAACTTTTGGTTTACTTAAAAACTACCTCCCATATATTTGATATAATAGTTCTAGCTGAAACTTGGCTAAATGATAACTTAAATATATGCATTGATGGTTATAAATATTTTCATTCTTTAGGCACACTAAATAAAGCAGATGGTGTCTCAATTTTTATAAAAGATAATATAATTATTAATGATGTTATTTTAAATGTAATACAGGGATGTAATTCTTTAGAACTAACTTTTAATTATAACCTAAAAGCATATAAAGTAATTGGTTTATATAGATCGCCCTCCCTAACTGTAAATAGTTTTTTGGTTGGTTTAGATCATTATTTGTCTAATATTCATGGTAATTATAAAATTATTTTGTGTGGTGATATGAATATCAATATATTGGATAATACTGGTGATGTTTCTGATTACTTAAATATCTTAGCCTCATATGGTTTTATATCTTGTATTAATAACTATACGAGAGTAACTGATCTATCAAACTCGTGTATAGACCATATTTTTATAAATGATATTTCAAATTTGTCCTCGTACATTGTTAAAACTGATATAACAGATCACTATAGTTTAGCTATTAGCATCAACAATGATAATTTTATTGAAAAAAATAATATTAATAATGATACACTTAAAAATGTTAACAAACTTAAATGTAATTTTTCTTACCTAAATAATTTATTGTTTTCATTTAATTGGTATAACTTTCTTTTAGACTGTGATGTTGATATTTTAATAGATAAATTTAATAGTAAAATAAATGAATTTATTGTCAGTTCTTCTAAAAAATGTATTGTATCCAAAAATAAATTTAAAAAATCACAAAAATATAAAGCTTGGATTACTAATGGACTTCTGGTCTCAATTAATAATAGACATAAATTATATTTAAAAAAACAAAAAGCTCCTTTTGATATTACAATAAAAAAACATTACATTAAATATAGGAATTTATTAAATTCATTAATCAGAAAATCTCGTATTTTATATTACAAAAACCAATTTTATTTATCTAATAACAATATTAAAAATACATGGAAATTAATAAATGAAGCAACATATTCAACGAAAAACGAGGAAACTCCTATATATTGTATTGAAAATAGTTCTACTAAATCTCTTTTAACTGATAAAATTGACATTTTAAATGAACTAAATGATTATTATGTTAATGTCGGTAAAAATATTTTTGACGATATTCAAATAAATAATTTTGAAAAACTAAATTGGAATGATATGAATAAAAACTGCCATATTAATAAATCAATTCTCCTGGATCATATTGATCCTTCAGAAATTTCTAGGTTTATAAAGAAAATACCAGATAAATCCTCATTCTATAATAACGGTTTATCGAACTTTATTTTAAAGAAAACAGCTGATTCTATCTCACTTCCATTGTCAATTATTTTTAATAAATCGTTTAGTACAGGTAAATTTCCTTCTAGCTACAAAAATACTATAATCATACCACTTTTTAAATCTGGTGATAGAAAACAATGTGGAAATTACAGACCTATTTCTTTAACTTTAACAGTTTCAAAAATATTTGAGAAATGTATAAAATCAAGATTAATGTCGTTTTTGGACAAACATAATTTTTTTTCATCAAATCAATTTGGTTTTCGGTCAAATATGTCAACTACTGATCCTTTATCTAAAACTTCAAATTTTATTCATAATAATTTAGATAACAAATTTAAAGTTCTTGGAATTTTTCTCGATTTTAAAAAAGCTTTTGACTCTGTAAGTCATAATTTGTTACTTAAAAAATTAGAATATAATGGTATAAGAGGCTATGCTCTCAATTTAATTAAATCATTTATCTCTGGCAGACCTCAACAAGTAAGAATAAACGGATTACTTAGTGATGTAAAGACAAATTGTTTCTCAGTACCTCAAGGTACAGTACTTGGCCCTGTCTTATTCATCATATACATAAACGGACTTTTAAATATAAAGCTTAATGCTGAAATTTTTTGTTATGCAGACGATACAGTTATTCTGATTAAAAGTCATGACTATGAAAATTTATATAAAACAGCTAATGACTGTCTATCTGTAGTAAAAGACTGGTGTGACAATAATAATTTACAGCTAAATTTATCTAAATCTAAATATATTGTCTTCAATATTACAAATCGTTCACATATTAAAAATACTGATTTTTCACTGTGTGTACACTCTTATAAATGTAAATATCTAGATAACCCTTGTGAGTGTTTACCTTTGGATAGAGTTTATTGTATTAAATATCTTGGAGTAAAATTAGACCATAGACTAAAATTTATTGAACATATATATCATGTAAATAGTATTCTTAGAAAATTATTATATAAGTTCCGATTGCTCAAAAACATGTTAGATATTAAAACTCTTAGAATTATCTATTTAGCTCTTGTACAATCTGTTTTCTCGTACGGTATTTCAATATGGGGATGTACATACTCCACACATTTAAATGTTTTATCTACTACAATTAATTTAATGATTAAAACTATACTTGGAAAACCAAAATTGTATCCAACTTGTTCAATTTACTTAGAGTTGAAAGTTAGAACTATTTTTCAAGTTTATGAACGGTCGGTTTTATTGTATATATTTAAAGTAAATATAGGACCATTTCAGCCTTTGCATTGTTATAATACTAGAATAAAAAACAATTGTAATTTAATTATTCCACGAAATAATACTAATTTTGGAACACAAAGTCCAATGATTAAAGGAATTCTGTTACTTCGTAAATATAATATTAATTTAACTAATTTTGATAATTTTAATAAGTATA